CTCCACACTCCGCCCAGCCCGCTGTCTCGCTCTGTGCCTGTGACCTGCCCGTCCCTCTGCCTGTGATCCCTTCCCCCATCTGTGCTCCGTGAGCTCCTGACCATCATTTCAGAGCAGCTTGGAAACCCAGGCCTCTTCCTCTGGGACCCCTAGCATGGGTCACACACCTCTGTCACCAGCCTGGCCCCACCCAATGTGGCTCACGCTCATGTGGGCATGTCTGTCTCTTCCACTAGAATGAAAGACAAGGGTTAAGATATGATCTGGGTTATCTCTATGTCCCCATGCCCTGCATAGAGCTGGGTATCATCAAGTGTGTTTTTTAAAATAAATGCACTTCAAACAATCACAATTTATCAGGAGTACCAGGGAGGTGAGGGTGAGAACCCTGATTCTACTATTCCGGTGTGACCTTGGGCAAGTTACTCAGCCTCTCTGAGGCTCAGCTCCCTCTTCAGGATATTACCAGGATCCTGGAGCGAAGGCTGAGGGCCCAGCAGTCCCAATGGACCTGGCTCAGCCACTCACCCCAATATACCAATCAAAGAAATGGGCAGAGACAAAGGGCCGGAAGGGAGCTTTTGCCATGCCGGAAAGAACAGATACAGGGGTACAGTGACCAAAGACCTGTCTTCACGGGACTGGCAAGGGGAATAAAAGCAAGGGTTGGGGGCTTGTGTGGCTGGGGGTTTACACAGCTGGCAAAGGAGGTATCCTGGTCAGACATGTCCTGGTGGGTCATTATCTCAGGACTGGTTCTGTGACACTACTCCTGGGTGATTGGGTTCCCAGTGGGATGGCTGCTCCTGCATTGAGTCAGCCTCCGTTTGATCATGGGGTGATCGTTCCTGCTCAGAGGGGCCACCTGGCCAGCGAGCGACCTGTCCTGAGGGCTCACCTTTGCCTGAGGGTAGTTTCAGTTCCTTGACACAAACATACTTAGGCATCAGGACTGCAGTTCCCGGAATCCAAGGTAACTGTGGGCATTGAGCAGAAAAGCTACGGAGCCTGGCACAGGATGGCACAGAGTAGGTGCTCAGGGTAGGTGCCTCAAAAGCAAACGGAGTGAGAGAGGGACACAGTGGAGCTGGTTAGGTGGGTGACACAGCCTTTCTGGAATGGAAACCCCCAGACTATTGTGAAGATGGTTGCAGGAGAAATGGGTGAAGGGCCCAAGGAGATTTGAAACTGAACAGTGGGGGGCAGGTGGGGGAGGGGCGTAGTGTGGCACAAATACCCGAGAGGCGGGGCGGGCGGTTCCCATTAAAGAATAGGAAGTTGATGGAGCAGAGGTGAGTTGGAGCTGAAGGGCACTGAAGGGTGAGGGCGGCCAGCTGACAGCGGGAGGGACGGGAAGGATGGGAGGGAGGGCATCTGTGGGGCAAGGGCAGCCTGGGCAGGCTGGGAGGCAGAAGCTGGAGCCTCTCAGTCCCAGGCTGGATCCAGAGGGTTCCAGAAGGCTCAGCAGACACACGTGCACCTGGTTTGAACTGGTCAGTGGGACACTGACTGAGCTAGTTACTTAATGCTGTGAAATGGGCAGATACATAACCCACCATGAGCCTTAGAGATAAGTACAGAGCCTGGGGCAGGGAGGCACATAGTAGGTGCTTCAAACAGAGCGGCTGCAAGCATGCCAGCCACAGTAAGAAGGGACAGCGTGACTCCAGGTGGGGCACGCAGGGCCAGGGTGGGCAGAGCAGGTGGGCGTGAGGAGGGGCCTCCTGAGCCCACTCTGCTGAGAGACATAGAGTCCCCAGTCCCTAGGAAGCCCTGGGGAAGCTGCAGGTGTTCCCACCGTGGGCGAGGCGTGAACTAGGGAGCACACAGTTTCCATTCCGCATTGAAACAGTGTCCACACTGCAGGGACCGGCACACAAACAAGACCCACCCAGGTGGGACGGGGGAGGGCAGCAGGTGCGAGTTGATGGGTGCCTGTGCTCTGGAAGCACAGAGGAGGAGAGATCTGAGTGGGGGAGGCGGAGGGGCCCTCTGCAAGCAAAGGAGGAGGGACGAAGGGGGGTGCAGCATGCCACCTGCCCTGGAGCGCAGATCTACCTGCCCAGACCTTGGATGTCCCATGCTGTGGAGCAGAAGGAAAGGCGATCTTTGTTGAATGAGCAACTACTATGCTCCAGTGTTACCTGCAAGGCTGTAGAGGGACAAGAAAGCAGGACTGGCAAGGAAATGGCCTCTGGAGACGAGGCGGGTTGTGAATTTCCATTCCATACCAAAAGGTTCTGCGATCTCGGGGCACACCTGACTCCTGGCCTGGCCTCCCCTGGTCCTCCATGACCTAAGGAGCCTCCTCCACCTGCCCTTCTGCTTCCATCAGCCTGGGGCGAGTCCCTTTGCCCACCCCAGTGATTCTGAGGCAGATGCTTGAAGAGAAACAGGCCTTACGTAAGACCTGTGACCTCTGTTTATTCCCTCTGTCCCTTTGATCCTCCAGACAGCCCTGTCAAGCTCCTCCTCCCATTACCGAGATGAGAGAAAAACTCAGAGAGGTAAAGTGGTTGCCCGAGGTCACGCAGGCCTCGACTGGCCACAAGAGGACCTGATCAGGCCTGGGGCTGCCGGTCTGGAGTTTTCTACCCTGGGATCCCTCCCTGGCCAGCCTTCATCCCGGCAGAGGCCCGGTGGGTTTCCCCTGCCTCATTCTTCCACTCCACCCCAAGCCCCAGCCCGGCTTCCTCCTTGGGCTGCTAATCTGGTCTTGCAGACCATCCCGCTTCCTGCCAGCCATGGCCCACACTGCCCTTTGCTCCCGTTGGCACTTCCTGCCCCTGGGCCCTCCTCCCGCCTCCTCTGGATGGGCTGGAGCAGGGCCAGGCGGTGCCCAGACATCAGGGATGAGACCCTCGGGGGACCAAGGGGGCACTAGCCTTCCCTCCTGGGGTCTGAACTTCCTCTGCTCTGTTGGCCTCGATGCCCACGCCCAGGGCACGTGCCTGGCCGGCCATTCCCTTGTTTACGGATCACAGGAACAGCCGCGTTCAGGGCAGAGTCAACTTCCACAAGGACTGGGAAGACAAAGGGAATTGGCAGATGCTGCCAGAACAGGGCCTGTCCCCCTCGGCCACCAGTGCCAAGTCTGAGACGCAGCAGGAAGTGGTGCCCAGGCCAGCGAGTTCCCGTGAGCACGTAGGCCAGGAGGGCAGGCAGTCCGTGAGGGGGGGACAGGGCAGGGGCACCAGGGAATAAAGCTCCGGCCAGGCCTGAATCTCGCAGGCCGGAGGAGGCAGGGTCAGCCCCGCTGCAAGGGAGCCACTGAGCCGCTGTTTGTCATCTCGTACGCTGTGATGGACGACGCTGGGTCTCAGCCCACCCCAAGGACTGTTCTGCTACCAGCAGGTGGCCCTGCTCACACCAGTAACATCTGCCTTCCCTGTCTGCGGGACACTCCCTCAGGACACAAACATGCCACCAAGCTTTTACAAACACACGCCCCTGCTCCTGTTCACTGCGAAACTTGGGAAGAGAGAAATCATCACTGTGACTCCTCTTCCTGGCCCCCCCCTGTCACCCCTCCAATCACTCTGCTCTCGTTCACTCTTTTCTGTTTAACCTGCTCTGTCAAAGTCAGTGACCTCATTTTCCAAATCCAGCAGCAAGTCTCTGCTGCTGCAGCCCAACCCTGCTGACCACCCCTCTGTCCTCTCCTGGCTTTCACGGCCTCCCTCTAACTGGACCCTCTCCTTTGGGCCTCCTTCCCTGTAACACCTCCATTCCCATGGACTTAGGGTTCAGCCATAAACTTCTGGCTTGCCAGCCTCATCCCCAAACCAGATCTGACTCCATCTCCAGGTACCAACCCCCCAGCTCCACTCAGGTATCCCGTCAGCACCTCTGATTCAACCTGTCCAACACGGAGAGAACTTTATCTCCTCTTCTCCCTAAAGGCTTCTTCAAACCCCTTCCCCATCTCTGATTGCTGACTGCTCCTGAGCAGGGCGCCCTCTAGTGGGCCCCACTGAAAACCAGGGCAGCTCTCTAAGGACAGAGTTCCCAGTTTCTGCCCGGGAGATTCCAAGTCAGTGGGTCCAGGGTGGGCGGGCCCAGGCCTCTCCAGTTTTTAAAGCTCCCTCTGCGGTTCTCATGATGCACAGAATTTGGGTCCTCACCTCCTCCAGCCTCTTGGTTCTGGGGTGCTCTGTCTATCTTTGACCCTTTAGGCCACAATTATTCCCAGGCAGATAAGGTACAGATGAGGAAATCAAGGCTCTGCAGGAACATGACTGGGCCACAGTCATATCAGAATCAGAGCCAGGACTCCTGACTTCACCTAATATTTCTGGACCCAAATGGCCCCCATAGACCCAGACTGGTGCCTCAGACTCGAAAACACACATGCACCGCTCCCAGAGGGAAGGCGACCTGATCCTCCTGTGCCCAGAGCTGCTGTCGGTTTCTGTCTCTCACTTGCCCCACCCCTGAGACCTCTGAAGTCCCCTCAGGGACCCACCACATAGGCTATGGCGTCACCACAGTGTCACAGAGTTATGGGAAACCCAGCTCTGGGCAAAGTGGACCGCGGCTGGGCTTCTGGATCACTGCTCTCCCTCTGGCTGGGCAGACGAGCAGCTCAGATCCAGAGCCTCCGCCTCCCGGGCTGTAAATGGGAATGACAGCCCCTGCCTTTGGGGCCCCAAAGATGGAATCTGTGCGCTGGTCCAGGCCCGGCCCTTAGCAGGTGCTGGGCTCAGAGGTCCAGAGCTGAGGCCTGGATATGGGCTCCGAGTTTAGCATCCCGAGTGGGGCCAGGGCCAGGTCTCTGTGGGGACACTCTCGCTGGGCCAAAGCAGCCGCCCACCGTGGGGCCTGCCTATCTGCAGGCAGCCTGGCCCTCACAAAAGAACAATAACAGGAAACCATCCCGGGGGGAAGTGGGCCAGGGCCAGCTGGAAAACCTGAGGGGCGGTGGCCAGGCCTCCCTTGCTGGCTGGGTGTGGCTGCCCTCGAGGCGGTCAGCAGAGCTCCTCACTCGGCCTTGGACAGACAGCCAGACAGAACAGAGAGCTCTCAGCCCACAGGCTCGGTGAGTGGGGACGCTCGATCTTCTCCACCTCTGACCCAGGTGTGTGCCCCGGGGGGGGGGGGGGGTCCTGGTTTCCTTGTCTATAGAATGGGATTGTGGGGTGACCCGTGGGGAGCAGCCCTTCCTGGGAGGACTGGGTCTCCTCTGGGGTCAAGGCAGGGCTGGGCAAGGTGCGTCCAGTGGTGGGGCCATGAGCCCAAGTGGATGTCTCAGGGCTGAGGGGGAGTAGGGCTTGGTTCCCCCAAAAGCAGACCCTCGGCGTGAACCCAGCCCTACTGGCTTTCATTGATACCCTTCCTCCCCAACACCCAGATACCAAAGCCTAGGGATCAGGAGCCAGTGACCCCATATCTCGGGGGAAGCCCCCCAGACGGCCAGCCATGAGGGCTGGTGCCAGCCGGGGTGGGGGTTCAGGGGCTTGGAGAAGTTCACCCACCGTGGGAACAGACTCCAGCTTGGCCGCTCCAGTGTGACCTTGGAGACCTTACCCAGTCTCCAAACCTCAGTCTGTTTGTCTGGGCAATGGGGCTAGTGGGTCTCTGCCATTTATTTTAAGAACTAGAAACGATGCGCCTAGAAAGCTCTTGAGTAATTGGATTCTCTATTTGCCCAGGAGCGGTCCCAGGGGGCAGATTCTTTCCTCACATCTGGTGAAGCCCAGGAGATCTGGAGAGCTGGGGTGGGGGCGGGGGTGAGATCTGAGCCGAGATCTTGGCCTGCACAGCCCAGGCTCTCCCCAGCACCTGTGGCTCCCCCGCGTCTTGGGATTCTCAGGTGTAAATGGAGGAAACCGTCTTTTTCTTGGTCATTTACTTGAGATGCTCACATTTGGCCTTGGAAATGGCTCATAGTAGGGATCTGGAAGGACTCGGTGCGGCTGAACTCACCCGCCACCCTCCAGCCGTTGGTGGCTTTGAAGGCATAATGTTGTGACTCCAAGGCATGGCACCAAGCCCCCGATCCCACTCTATCTCCAGCTGCAAGGGGTCAGCCCCCGGCGGGGGACGGGGAGGGGTGGCACCTCTGGGCACCTACTCCATGACCCCTGGCCCTGGGTGGTAGGCAGACGGGATTGACAGGTGATGAAGAGCATCCCAGGAGGAGGGACGGCTGGGCAGCTCAGAGGGCCTGGGGAGCAGGGAGTAGAGGCCAAGCAGCAAGAGGACCAGTGGCCTGAGGCCCAGGAGCCCTGGCTCATTCTCAGTGGGGGCAGCCACAGGCTCCTCCCCTGTCTGGCCGAGTCTAGCCATCTGTGAGCCCCAGGCTGAAGGTCAGAGGGTACCCCCACACCAGGAGCCCAGGAGCCACCCCAAGCAGCCCTACCAGCTCTAGATCACAGTGCCAAAAGTTAGGGTAGGTGTCTGCAAGCCCCAAAAGGGTTAAGCTGCCACCCTACAGCCTCAGACCCAACCATTGTGAAGCTAAACAAGGGCCGGACATGGGGCAGGAAGCCAGAAGGGGCTACACTTATTTTCTTCCAAAGTTAGATGACTCACACTTCCACTGCTGCCTTAGGGACAAGCAGTGGACACTGTGGCCACCATTCTAGGAAAAATCTCAGGCCCTGTCCTCACATGGACCCATACCTGATACCTCCACCATCCCGCCGTAGCCCCCCTTCTCACGTGAAGCTACATGAATTTCCATTTGATATATGGGATCACTGAGGCCCAGAGAGATCATGAGATCAATCCAAGGTCACACAGCTAGTACAAAGTAAAAGCAGAACATTGATGAGGACAGTCCTTTGGGCCCCATACCGATTACAGCCCATAGTGAAGCTCAGAAAGGAAGTAGCAGGCCCAAGAACCAGCCAGGAGAACAGTGACCCTGGGGAGAGAATGCTCTAGGAGATGGGCTCTGCATGCAGGAACTTGCTTCTGCCTGGAGAGATGCGGAGAAACCTGGGGTGTTGGGTGGAGAAGTCAACAGAGGGTTCCTGGAGGAAGAGCAGAAGCCTGAGACGCTAGGGAGGCCTCGGACATCGCCCTGCCTTTGCCTCAGTCTCCCCATCTCTCCAGGGCAGAGCTAGTCCTGAAACTTACGCAGGCACCTCCAGCTTATCAGACCCCGGCAGGTACACAGACCCGCTGGCTGGGCCCTGCTGAACGTGATTTCCTTCTGGAGAGGAACGAGGGGAGCAGGAGGTCAGCCCAGAGCAGAACCAGGAAATGAGGTCAGGGGCTAGCCGGCAGTCCAAGCCACAGCTGCCAGACCAAAAGGGTGGGCAGATGGCAGTCAAGACACACACATTCACTGACTGAGTACCTACTGTGTGCTGGGCTTACACCTGTGACCTCACTTAGTTCTCCCAACCAGGGAGGCCGCTACTGTTGCCTCCATTGCAGATGAGGAAGCTGAGGCTCAGAGAGAGCACGGGATGGGCCCAAGGTCGCACAGCTCGTGAGCAGTCAGGCAGGTTCAGACGGGCAGATGCATGAAGCTCCTTCCTGTCACCTTAGGACAGGAAGGTAGAATGGATGACCCGGATCCCAGAAACCCATGGGCCAGGCTGCCAATTTGTTTCAAATCAAATTAGTTCTGGTCCTTTGGTAATCCCTCCCTCATAGATTGCACTGAGGATTCAGGGACTGAGTTCAAGTTTGGTGGTTATGAATATTTTGATTGATTGGTGATGTCTGCCATAGGTAAGGGCAGGGGTGAGAGGCCACCTCTGAATTCTGTCTTGCCAGTCCTACCTAAAGAGGCCCCCAACTCAGGGGTGTGTACGTATCATCAGGACCCTTAGTAAGGATAATCTCATTGCTCCCCAAAAACCTACAGTGGTGTATTTGACAATGAGATGGGCCATTGGAGGAGCCATTGGGGGTAGGGATAAGTTTATCTGAGTTATGCTGATGATTGTGACCTCTCTGCCCACCCTACCTGTTGTCTGCAAACATGCAGATTGGTTTCTAAATCCTGGGAGTGGCAAGGGAATCAGTAGCAAGACCAAAATTGGAGACTGAGCCAGACTGACAGCCATGGAGAGGGACTTTGACACCCCCAGGTCTGGGCCCTTGAGTCCCTGCACTTGGATGCTTGTGGGGACCTAGACCCAGAAATTGTTTGGGCAGAGACACTTGGTCCAGAAGGCCTAGGCCATCCTGGTGGCCACTGGAAGACCAAGGGAGGGTAGACTGGGCTTGAAAAATATTAAAGCATCACCCAGAGGACAAAGGGCACTCCAGGCCCCTGTGTGAAAACCCTGTTGGTGACAGGAAGAGCATCGTGCATTCCAGAGACTTCTCATTCTCCTCGTGGCTGGTAGGGGCAGAAGGGCGGAAGAGAGGAGAGCTGGAGGAGTGGGCAGGCGACGCACCGTGCTGGACCTTGAAGACTGGCTCAGGGGCTGGACTTCAACCTGCAGGGGTACAGTGTAGACAGGGAGGCTGTTGGCAAAACTCTACAAGGAGAGGAGCATTCTGAGCCACAAATAAAGGAAAGCACCAGAAGCCGGCTCATAGCTGCGGGGTCTCACCCCATCCCCAAGGCTCCCAGGGCCTTGGCCTCTGTCCTTCTAATGTGGGCAGCTGCCAAGGCCCAGCTGTAAGTGCCAGCATTTGAGCAGATAGTGTGGGGGTCTCTGGGGGAGTTTGGGGATCAGTGGGTCCCACTCTGTCCTAGACGGAGGCTCGTGGAGTGGGACAAGCGGGTGATAGAGAGCCTCCAAGGCCACCCACGGAGCTCGGGCTCCAGCCACCCTGCCTGCAAGCACACCCCCTGCGTGTTTTGGGCCATCCCCTCCCACCGCCCTGACCCTCATACCTGACCCAGGGCCTCTGGGCTGGAGTCCAGAGCCAGTGGGAGGCTGGGCTGGGACTCGCATTCCGTCCATCTCCAGAGGTTGTCCCTGGAGCCGGGCTCGGCTGCTAGATCCCATCCTGGCTAAAGGCTGTGTGCGGGGAAGGAGCAGAGGGCCTCAGACAGTGTGGGGAGTGTCTGTGCCCAGGGCTGTGTCCTCATGCAGGCGTCTCTGAGGGCTGGGGGTCTGTGTGGCCTGAGGATGCTGCGTGTGCATCTGACCTGGAGCCTTCCTCCACACAGCCCCAGAGACCTGTTCAACAGCCCCCTAAAGCCCAGACTTGGCCCCTGAAATCTAAAACTTGAGTGGGGCTCTGATCAGATGGAGGGGTAGGGCTCTGCCCTGTGGTCAGAAGCAGAACCAGCCTAGGCCTTTGTTCAGTGCCCCACCCAAGGGCTCCCAATTGGGTCCAAATTTCCTACCATCTACTTAACCGCAAAGGCAGAGGGCCCAGGGAATCCCAAGAGAAGGCTCAGCCCCTCCCTACCCAACAGTTCCCCTCTTCAGCCATGTCCCCTCCCCTCCTTCTGGCGTATGATTTAGAGAGCATGGAGCTGAGCCCACTGCAAGACAAGCCCTGAGATGGATAGGGCCACCAAGAGAAGGACCAAAGGGGACTTTGCCTGAGCCTCATGGGGATGAGTGACAGAGGCAGAGCTCCCTCCAGGGACTAGGCTTCACCCACTGGGCCCTCCCCCATTCCCTGTCACAGCTTCCTAAGTCCCTCCATCCTAGTATGTGCCACAAAGGGGTCCCCTTCATCCATTAGGAATGGCTTACAAAACTAACATGGCTTCAGAGATGACATCAGCACAGATTCTGGATGACAGGGACATGGGCAGGGCCCTGGCCTCTGGGTGTCCAGTACCCACAGCTGAGTTGCCAGAAGACCCCCTCTCCACCCATCCTGAGCTCAGGCAGGTTCCCAGACTGCTCAGCCAGGAACTGCTCACCCCAAAACCATGCCCAAGGTCCTCAGGCGCTCTGGATGTCCACAGTCCCCAAATCTGCCCAGAGACACCCCAAACCTCTCCAAAAAGTGGTGAGAACAGTAGAAGAGGCGTGACTCTGCTTGCTAAAAGCAAAAAGCCTAAAATAAGCCTAACCCCAACTGTCTGCTGGCCACACCTCCAAACTGCAGCCCAGGAACACTCTGTTTCCGGCTGTGGCCACAGCCAATCTGACCCGCCTGCCTTCCTCTCCATGGGCAGGAGGAGGAATGAGTGATTGTCTACAAAACCCTTCCCCTTGGCCCTGTTTTGGTGGCCAGATTTCTAACACAAAAGCAAAAATCACAAAGAAGTGGAGTGTGGTTTTTCAAACGATGAGTTCCCTCAGATTCCTCTGAGATTGTGTGTAGAAGGAACCCAGGATTTAGAAAAAGACAGATTGGGCAGAGAGGTCCAGGTCTACCGCTGATAAGCTGTCTGTCTCTGAGCCTCAGGCTCTTAATTTGTGAAATGGGAATGACAATTCCTACCTCTTCAGGAGGCTGGGGATACTGCAAAAACTAAATGAGGTGGTGCTTCTGAAAGCCAAGCACTGGAAATGGTTTATTAATATTACATGTGAGTGTCACTGCAGAGAGGGGGGGGGGGGGGACACGACGCACCATTGAGGACAGGTTCAAATTCTGGCTTCATCTCTTGCTACTGTGTGACCTGGGTTGGCTCACTCCACCTTTCTGAACCTCCTTCTTCCTGCAAAATTGGATGGTTGACAACTACATCAAAGGTCGTTGCAAGATGTTAGTGAGATAATGTGCCTCGGGGGAGGTGCTCAGGGATGTCAGACAAGAAAACACTGTTTCAGAGTGCCCAAGTCTTCAGTGTCACGTGGGGATAATTACACGATCCCATCCTCTAAAAGCCCTCATGGCCAGGGTCCTCCCCCTCCCTTGACAAGGGACATACTGATATAGTTGACTGAGAGGAGCTTGAAGCTGACCCGTGTGGACCAAGGGCTTTCTTTCAGAGCTCACCGCTGGGCCTTTGATGGACACAGAATAGAATGCAGAGGGCTTCTCTACACCCCCCAAGAACTTTACCTCCTTGGCCCACTGAGGAGTTAATGCCCCACGTGAACCATGTGGTCAGAGCCCGTGGCCAGTGGACGTGGCTTTATTGAGGTCTCGTGTAGTCATCTATTAATTTGGGTGATAAATAAAGAAAACCATGACCCGTCCTCTGTCTGAGCCCCGTCAGGAAACCTGGGTCCCACAAAGAGACTTTGTGAAAGGAACTGGGTACAGGGCCAATCGGGATGTGGAGGCACCCAGAGGCCAGGGACAGGGGAAGCTGTTAGTGCCTCAGGACCAGAGGGACAGAGGGAGGATGTTTCCAGAACCTAGGGAGAGATGAAGGACCCAGGGGCCGCCCACCAGCAGCTGGCATCATGGAGCAATGTGACCACAGCTAAAAACAGGAGCCAGAGCGGAGAGGAGCAGGGAAGACATTGTCCACATCCTCCTCTGGTCCTTGGAGGGCCTGCTGGAGCAGATCCTGACCAAACAACCAGAGGCCAGGGGCGCAAGCCCAGAGCAGCCCTCATGACACAGAGCTGAGAGACAGGAGCCCAGGGCAGCCCCCAAGACCCAGAGCAGAGGCTGGTGGGGCAGGGTGGGATCTGGCAGGGATGGAAGGGAAAGCAGAAGAGCCTGCTTGTCCCCCCAGCAGGTGATTGGAAGCTGAGGCCCAGGAGTGGGAACAGATCCCCCCTCAAGGCTGCAGGGACAAACTGCCACAAATCTAGGGCCTAAAGCAACACGAGCCCATTGACTGGTTAACTCACCGTTCTGCGGCTCAGAAGGTTGAAATGGGGCCCAGTGGGCTGAAGTCAGTGCTGTGGTCCCTTGGAGGCCCAAGGGAATCCCTGCCCCGCCTTTTCCAGCCCCCAGGGGCTACTGGCCTTCCTTGGCTGGTGGCTCCCCTCACATCAAGCCTCCTGTCATTACTTTGTCTTTTTTTTTTCTGACTCTGGCCGTCTGCCTTCCCCCTCAAGGATGATATGATTATTGGGGTCCAATAAGGGTCTGCTGAAAGTCCCTTTTTGCCATGTAAGGTAATATCCCAGGGAATAAGACGCAGACCCTTGGGGGTGAGGCAGTCATTCAGCCTATTACACAGATCTGGCCACCTCTCCTGTGCCCAGCCCCTATTGCTCATTTCCTCTGACCCTGGGTACTCCTTGGTTCCTCAGGTACATTAACTGTGTCTCACCTCAGGGCCTTTGCACCTCTCGGTGCTTCTGCCCAATATTCTCTTCCTCCTTCTGCCATCCCTAAAGCTGACCCTCAGACGTGGGCTCACATAGCTTTCCGAGTGGGCTGGTGGTGTATCCGTGGTAAAGCGCTTGCTTGGCATGCAGGAAGCCCTGAGTTCCATGCCCAGCACCAAAAAAAATCCAAAACCTCCCCAAAGTTTTCCCTGGATTCAGTCTCAGTCAGACACCCCTCACCCAGAGTCCTGTCCCCAGTGCCTAGAAGCACAGATGCCTCACTGAGCAAGACTCATCCTGTCCTGCCCGAGGCCTGAGAACTCTCTCCTGCTGTTTCCTGATTTCACTTGTTTGTTTTGTTTTTGCATTTTAGAGTCACTTCTCACATGAGGGAGGCAGAAAGAACCAAGATTTGCCGTTTCTTTCTGGGAGGAAGGAAATGGCCCTTAGAGCCCTGGGGGGCTGCTGGGCCTGGGGCTGGGGATGCAGCAGCTGCGACATCTGCCTGCTGCCTCCCTGAGTCAGGACAGCTTCCTGGCCAGGACTTCCAACCTCCCCCTCCCTCCTCCGATCCTCTGTCCACCGCCTTCCTCCTGCCTGGAGCACCCTACTTCCAAGGGCACCAGGTGTCCTCCAGCTAGACCCCCTCATTGGTGGCCGAGAAGCTGAGGCCTAAAGGAGGCAGGGCTCCCCCAAAACATAACACCTGCATCTAGGATCCACCCCGACTCCAGGACCCTGGGAGGTCACTTCCTCCTGGGACAGAGGCAAGGCCCTTGGATGCTAATGTCAGCAGCCCAGCACAGACTCTCTGGGCCCTGCTGAGGCCAGCCTGGCGCCAGTGGCTCAGAGGAAATGTTACTAGAGTTCAGAAGCCTCCTATGAGGTATAGAGTCCAGCCTCCCCCACGGGTAGGGTGGAGCAAGAGGCAGTCCCACCCCACACCCTGTGAGTCCTTGTGTCCCGTCCCGCCAAGCATGCACACTGGTCCCCACTCCCACTCATCAACTTTCTTCCCTCTACCATCTCAGGAGCTACAGGTCAGTGATACAAGGGACCCAGAATGGGTGGACAGGTAGAGTCAGAGTTGAGAAGGCAGGTTGATGGCCAAGGGCATGGCCTCCAATTGCCTTGGGGAAATGGAGAAAATGTGTGTTTCTGAAATTCAGGCAGAGGCCAGGCCTTGATTTCTGGGTGACCCATATTCCTGGCCCATGGGGTTGCCCTCAAGAGTGTACAACCTGCAAAAGTGCACAGGGCTTGCATTTCAAAGTGCTTAGCTTAGTATTCGTCTGTCTCAAAAAGTCTTCATAACTTTCGAATGAAGGACCCACATTTTTATTTTGCACGGGGTCTGCCAATTACAAATCCATGAAGCGGGACTCTCAAGCCCCCACATGCCAAGCCTTGCTTTTATGACAGATCCTCAGGAGACTACCTCCTGTGCATTCTAGAGTGAGGTGCAAACCTCTGAGTTCAAACATTGTTGTTTTCCTGGGGACCTTCTGAGGACAGCAGCAGAGAAAATCTACCAAACGGCACACTGGCTGGGAGGGCATGTTTGTTCAGAGGAATCTTAAAATCCCACCCCATCGCAGCTTTGGGACAGGAAAAACAGTCTGAGCTTTTGAGACAGATAGAGTCAGTTCCAGTCCTGTCTCTCCTCCTTACAGTCTGGGTGATCTCAGGAAGTTACTAAACCTCTCTGATTATCAGCTTATCTGTAAGATGAAGATCACAATTATTCCAACCTCAAAGGATATTAGGAAGATTACATGAGTTAACATACATACAGCTCTTGGAACAAAGTCAGACAAATACCAAGTTCTCAATAAAGGTTGGTGATGGAGGTCAGAAGCCTGGCTCTGCTCTCAGCCCTGCTGCTGATGCCTACATGGACTTCACCTCCTCATGACTGAGTTTCCTCATTGGTAAAATGGCGATTGCCCAAATGCCTCCTGGGTGAGCTCGTGGAACTGTGATTAACATCAGTATCTCCCCCTCCTTCAGGAGACCCCCCAGCAGCCTCTGAGGCTCTCCATACCCCGCGCACCTGCTTCCATCTTAGCCCATGTACATGTATGCACTAGGAATCATTTCTGTGTCTGCCTTCTCCTCCCAGACTCCCAGCTCCCCTGGGTCAGGAACAGGGTCTGATTCCTCTGTCTGCAGAGTGATGGATGAAGGCATGAACAGATAAAGGAAGCTCATTTCTCTACGGGAACTACTCAGACCCTAGGATAATGGCCATGTCCTGATGGTGTCTCTCCTCTTTCCCCAGACTGGCTCCTCCCGGGGATGCAGAGGCTCACGATGCTGGTGGCTGCTTTGGGTGCCTACCTAGGCCTGCTGGTGACAGCAGCAGTGGCAGGCTCTAACCCTACCCAACCGGACACTCCTGGCATGCTGCCTATTCACCAGCGCCAGAAAAGAGCCTGGATTTGGAACCAGATGCACATTGAGGAAGAGAAAAACTCCTCATTGCCCCACCATGTGGGCAAGGTAAGGCTCAGGCTCCATGGGAGGAGAAACCATCTGCAGCTGTCCCAGAGCAATGGTCTTGGTGGCAGAGATGGTAATAGATACCGGGGTAGTTGTAGGAGTGGAGGAAATAGTTGTGAGGGTGATGGCAACAGAATTGGAGCTGGGGGAGGTGGTAGAACTGGTAGTGGTAGTAGTGGCGGCAATGGTGATTGTGGTGCTCCTGAGTGTGGTGGTAGTGGTGCTAAGAAAGGAGAAATGGTAACAGGTGCTGGTAGTTATATCAAAGAGGAAGGTGAGGAAAGTAATGGTGGTACTAGTGGAGGTGGTGGTAGTGATGGTGATGGTGCTGGTGGTGATAGTGGTGTTAATGGTAATGATGCTGGTGACAATGGTGGTGATGGTAGCAGGAGCAGTGAAGGGGAAGGTGAGGGAGGTAATGGAGGGGGTGGGGGTGGGGGTTGTTATAATGGTGGTGCTGATGGTAGTGGTGGTAATGGTGGTGATGATGGTGGTTATGATGGTGGTTATGGTGGTGGTAATGGTGATGGTGGCAGTGACAGTAAAGGAGACAATAAGGGAGGTAATGGTGGTTGTAGTGGCAGTGATGGTAGTGGTTGTAATGGTGGTGCTGATGGTGGTGGTGGTGGTAATGGTGAGGGGGGTGGTGGTGATCATGGTGGTGGTGGTGATGGTGGTGGT